CTTCTTTCAGCAGCAGCCACCGTAACAGGAAGAGTGGCAGAGATTCTTAGAGCAACCCACATGTTGGGGTACATTTCTGCTAGTTTCTTCTCATGCAGGAAGGCTAAACGTTCCAAGTTTGTCATGTTCGTTGATGGCAATGGTGGGAAATGTTGCATTTCCATTGTGAGTTCTGCTCCATCAACATCCTGCTGGCTGTCCTGGGTCAGAGCAGCACTCAGGGTTTGACACTTCTGTAGCAGCTCTTTTTCTTTCTAAGTTGGGGAAATCGAGGAGCACACCAAACATGTTATTCATATTATACTCAGAAAAATAGTGATATTACAACATTTTGCTTGTATTTTTGAATACTAATACTTATTGAATCCTCAGTTGAATATTTTGAACATTCAATACTTCAACTTGACTGAGTAACTTTTAATTGTAGTTAAGTAAGATTAGACTATGAGTATAAATACTTTACTCAAGTACTACTGTTGAGTACTTCGTCCACCACTGAACATATGCAGTGGAGATTATTTTACTCCAAAGGTCTGAATGGGTGTGTACATGGAAGCAAAGCAGAATGGCGATAGAGAATAAAACACCTCTGTCATTCGGATTGAAATTTCTTTCTAAATTCAGATTTACTGAACAATATTTCAAGTAGAAAAGCTTAGAAAGCGGCCAGTGAGCTTTAGAACTCGCTCCTTTGCCTCATTAAATGCAGCTTTGACTGAATGAAACTATATCATTGCACAAAAAAACTGCTTTTTTCTCGCTAATTAGCTGCAATTAGCAAGTTTTTCCATTGACTCTCACGCACGCGCGCACGCGTGCGCACGCTCACCCGCTGCCATGGAAACCGAGCAGCTGTAAAAGCGGCAGCCATTTTTAACGTATCCTTTCTAACCTGGACCTGGAAGCTTGAACTGCTGCAGTCTGTGATTCGCTAACCTGTTAAAGATGTGCAGGCAACCAGAGGACAACAACTTGTGGGACGATCATCTGGAAGGTTTATTTCACTNACTCTGCTTTACAATATTCTGTGCTTTAAGTTTAAATTCTATTGCAATATTAATGTACTAGATTGTGTTGCATTGATGAAAATATAGAAGAAAAATAGAGAAATCCGATTTTTTGCTTTATTATTTTCTTTTATTTTAAGGATTGGGGGGGGAAATGTTAGAAAGTTCCCATCCCTGCATCAGAGTGCTACATGCTCGATCTATGAATGGTTTTCTATGCTTTAACCAAACAAGCAGCCGTAGTGGAGTTTGGAGATGCAATCTACTTCTTAAATCTATCTTTGTTCTCCTCTAATTTATCCAGAAGTTTTGGAATCACAGTTTTTCTCTCCCAGCTTGGTGTTGGGCTGCATATTTAGCAGCCTTCCCTGGAAAGGCCTTTCCTAATGACTCTTGTTATTATTTGCAAACTTCTCATTCCAAAGCAAACATGCAGGCAATCCTTCCTCATTGGTAATGAAAGCAAATGATTCGCTCCATTCTTCTTTGAATCCTCTGTTCTCATCAGCTATCTTCCTTGATTTCCTCTTTGGGATCCATGGCCTGAAGTTCTGATTAAAGGCTTAAATCAAAAATGAATTTTGAGCGTGGTCTGCGCGATACGCTGTTGGTCTAGATACAGCCGAAGCAGTGAGGATTTACAGCAGCCACCTGCCTGTAGTTTGATAGCATTTCGCTTCCCATCCAGGAAGCTTTTTGAATTCAAAATCAATTCAATAATTCAGAGAGATATTAAGGGTTTAGGGTCTCATTTATAAAGCTTCTATACGCACAAAACAGGGCTTGAAACTTGCGTTCTCCCCTTTCCACGCAAAGATTATTATTTACCAAAAACTAATTTGCACGCGCAAAATCTGACCCAGGCCCGGCCCTAAACAATTTGGGGCCCTTGGCAAGATTTTAGGTGGCGCCCCCTTGCATCACTGTGCAGTACTTGCATGTCTGCTGGTGTAAATATACTCACAGGAAACTAAAAAGCTTTGTCTTGGGCATTGTTTTATTTACGTAAAACAATATTCACATTCAAAAAACTTAAAAATAATCAAAGAAACAAAAAAACGAACATATGAAATACAATATAGATAAAAAAAAGTGTAAAAAAAGTGACATTAACTTAAATGCAATATAAATATGGCACTGTGCAAAGTATGAAAATCAAAGAAATGAGTAGGCACAAAAAATACAATGATTTAAATAAAAGAAAAAATAACATGATAGTTCTAGTGGTGTTTTTAGTCTCCCCTAACTTGAATTACTTCAAAAACTGTATACTCTCACATGACTACAGCTTTACTCTCCTGGAGTTTCTTGCAGCAAATTCATCTACAACATCATCATCTGACAGCTGATTTGAGACCACATGATTAATGCTTATGATGGAAACTGAGACGTTCTTGCATCATAGTAGATCTCAGGTCAGTTTTAATCAGTTTAAGCTTGGAGAAGCTTCTTTCAGCAGCAGCCACCGTAACAGGAAGACTGGCAGAGATTCTTAGAGCAACCCACATGTTGGGGTAAATTTCTGCTAGTTTCTTCTCATGCAGGAAGGCTAAAAGTTCCAAGTTTGTCATGTTTGTTGATGGTAATGGTGGGAAATGTTGCATTTCCATTGTGAGTTCTGCTCCATCAATGTCCTGCTGGCTGTCCTGGGTCA